AGAGACCCCCACACCACGGGATCACACAGCTACACGCCAGGGGAGGGACAGAGACCCCCACACCACGGGATCCCACAACTGCTCACAGGCAAGTGGGTGCTCGCAGGAACGAGCGTGACTGTGGGAGACCCTTCCTCGTGTTGTCAGCTCAGTAACGTGTGCACCGTGTGTGGTCCGCAGACGAAAGTCATGCTGAACGTGCGGTGTCTAGTCGCTATTCGAGTGGCTTTTCCAGCACGCTGGCTTCAATAACCATGGGTCGTGCCAACCTCAGAAGCAACTCAGTCATGAGCAAACCAGGAGTAGCAGGTGCGTGGCCTCTCGGAGTGAGGACAGCGCGTCTGCCTCGTGCCGCGTAAGGGGGAGGGTATACGCCGTGCCCAGATTGCCCCCCACAGCTCACCGAGGGTTACCAGACGAGGTCTGGAGACCCGAGTCACGGCAGCACGACAGCTCTGGCCTGGGAGCGGCATGGCTTATGGCTGGCCTCTGGCCAGACTCAGTTCTGTCCTTTCAGGGCAAAGAGTTAGTCAACCCTGGAGGGCTCAGGGCCACCGAGCAGCACCGCAGGCCTCGTGTTTCCTCCACGCCACCCCCGTCGGCCAGCTCGGCCCCAGCACAGGAGTAACCCACAGAGCCAGCCAGCTGCCACCGCACGGCCACAAGGATGCTCCGCTTGCACCTCAGCTACGGGGCCCTCCAAGGAAACTTCCAGAGCCAGAGGTACCTCACACGGCACATCTAGCTAAAGGTTTTTCCAGGTAGAATTCACCAAGAAACGTAGAAATCCTAACATGCTGTGCCTGGGGGAGGGGCAGAGGGAAAAAGCTATCTGGTTGGCTTTTGGGGGGCAAAGGTGGGAAACACTGAGAATCCACAGCCCGTCACGAAGCAAACATGACGCCCTCCAGTTGTCACCCCAGAAACCTGCAACCCCAGGGGAGGGTCCTTCCTGCCTCGTCCAGCTTCTGCGGCTCCAGGTGCCCCTTGGCTCGTGGCGGCCTCGATCCTGTCTGTTGTCACCTGCCCCTCTTTTGCATGTCTCCTATAGGAGACATCCAGGGTGGCACCCAGGGCCCACCTCCTCTTGCGTGTGCAGGTTGAGAGCAGGTGTCCCCGAGTGCCAGGAGCAAGAGTGAGGGGGCCCCACACCGACCCGGGCCTGGCGTCTGCTCCCCAGGGTTTCTCGTGTGGCCAGAGGGGCAGCCACCGCCTCCTCCTGCGTCGTAGGATGCCTTCACGGCTGGTGACGCTCAGACTGCACTGTTCACTCTTGACACACAGGCCGGTCGGTGACCGTTGGCCCGAGTCCTCATGGCCAGTTCCTGCACTGCGGCGACCAGCCGACACTACCCACTCCTTCCACGCGCCTCCCTGGCGCTGACACGCACGAACGGGAAGCGCCCTGTCGTAACACACGCTACCTCCCAGCCCACCTCTTGGACGACCGCACTAAAAGCCAGGAATTCAACTTCAAAGGAGCCCAATGACGGCATACAAGTAAGAAGATGGCACGAACACGAAGGAATTAACCACTTGAGGTTTGAAACACACTTCCTAAAACAAAATCATAGAAGCAACCTGGAGATGCAGGTGGTGAGAACGTCCCACCTGACCGACCTGCAGGGTGGGCTCATTTCCTGCTCTCGTTTCCTTGCACCACTTACCAGCCTCCGGCAGAGGTGCTGACTGGCTAGGAAAGGGTGTAAGAGAATCCTCAGGGACCACGCGCCACCGGTACCTCCCACCTGTATCTCACACTAGTCAGAACTCTGCAGACGTGCACCCAAGGTTCGTGCATTTCACTGTTTGTAAATCTTACCTCAAAAGGTAAACAAACTGAACAAACAGCAAACTCGTTGATGAACGTGAATCACTTGGAGTGCACTGGTGCCGGCCATCTGAAACGGGTGGCAAACGAGAGGCACTGAGGGGCGGATGGGGGACGGACGGGGGACGGACGGAGGGGAGAAGCCGATCCAAGGAGGGGGTGCACGGGTCTCCACTCACCGCACCTCTGCGCAGTTACGCTGAGCCGTGAGCGCAGTTACATGCGGTTTAGTCTTTAACTCACTCCACCAGCAACAAGAGAGTGAGGACCCCGGGCCTCGAGAAATACACAGGCTTTTTTGATGGTGACTCCATTCATGGCTTTGCAGCCTAAAAAACCCAAAAAACATTACCCCGTCAAGCAGGGGTGAAGAATGCAGCGACAGCAGGTTTGCTAAATAGGTGTTTATTAAGGCTCGTATTCTCCTAGAGGAAAGTCACCCGATGTCGTCCTCGACTCCACACAGGCAGTGACAGAGGAAGCGATAGGCCCTAAATGCAAGTCTACATGATGCAGCTTAAACTTTAACTGTAGGGTCTTCTGCAGCACGTGGTCCGGGAGGCGCCTGCTCTCCAGGACGGCAGAGCTGCTCTGCGACGAGCACGTGCGGGCGGGCGCTGCAGCGTCGGGCACGAGCACCATGTTCATGCTTCAGCTCAGACTCCAGGTGGCGGTTCCGTCAACGGTCCCTATTCCACAACACACTGACAGCAAATTCACTTTCTAAAAGGTTTGTTTGTTTTTACCCGTTCAACAGGAAAAGAAACGAGACACGCGTGGTGAAATTTATAGCAGGCGGCATCCTCCCTCACGCTCCGACCCACCAGACCCTGCACGTAAAGCGCAGCGTTCCGGTGTGAAACGGCACTGGGGCTCTCAGGCGAAGGACGGGAAATTAAAACGGTCTGCAGACAGCAAGGAACCCTGAACACTGAACCACATCTCACACTCCTCCCGACCCCGCACGGCGGACCCCACCAGCATCGGGCGGGCTCGGGCGCAGGGCAGCGCGGGACACAGCAGCAGCAGGGTGTGGGCCACAGGTTTTCCACAGAGACAAAACGTGCCCACCAGACTCGAAAAATTAAAGTTTACCTTTCCGTCTAGTAGAAAAATCAAATGAGCAGATTAGCATTTCAGACATAACAGATGATAAAAATGGCAAACCAGCTGGACGAGGTGGTCACCAACTTTTTCATTTCAGGACTTTAAGAGATTTTAACAGATACTCTAAGAGACAAAACAACTCATGGTTTCCTATGTTTGTATGAGCAAGAAAGGGTGAGAAGTACAGGGCTCATCAAGAAAGTTAATGACTGTGGACGTAAGAAGATAATTTCTGCCAAAATAAAAAAAATCTTTAGAATATATTAGGTTTTTGTTTTGCTTTGTTTTTAAGGATATTTATATTTCCCATTAGGTCAGTCTGATTGATAAACTGACAAAAAAAATACTCCTTTATTAGTGAGTTCTACAATATCATAACACATAGAAAAAATACAAACGAACACAGATCCATCTGGGCAAAAATAAACTACGAAAAAGGTAAAAGATGCAACACTCAACCCTGCACAGGACGACACGCTGGAGCTGACCAAGCACACGTTTTTAAAACTGGTTTTCAAAGTCCAATGTTAGAACACGTAAGAAACCGTCTGGTCCTTATTGTTTGTTTCGATTCTGCCGTTCCTGTAAGAGAGAGGGAAAGAGTTGAACAGACGGTCACCAGACAAACCCCTCCCAGGACGCGTCCAAGGTGCCCGCAGCCGCAGCCTCCCTGCTCAGCCGCCCAGACCACACGGCGCACAGACAGGGCCGTGTGGACCACACACACGCGAGGCATGGCATTCGGCCCCGACCCCGCGCCAGAGCCCTCACAAGCAGAAAAGCATCGACGGCTGCAGTTGCGTGGGTCACCCGTGTGCTGCAGACCTCACTTCCCGTCCCTGGCTTGCCCTCCCATGCCACCGTCACTCTGCATGGCAAACCCTAGACGTGAAATTGTCTGCACGCACTGGGCACTCAAGTGTGCTGCGTACACGGGAGCTGCTCTTCTGTATTTTATCTCACTTAAACCTGTCAGTGGCCCGGAGGACACTGAAGTCCTCCCCGCAGGCTAGAGAGCGAGCTCTGCGTCACCAAGACCAGCTCAGGCCCTCCCACTGCCCTCGTCTGCTCTGACACCAGAGAACCGGGCCCCCGCAGACGGACTTGAGCGAGGCCAGGCGCCTCGGCCATATTTATCTTCCACTTCCACAAAGAGAACAACCTTTTCCCAAGTGTGTGTGACACACGAGTTTGGGACTTACAGCTGAACCTTCACCCGTGCCTGCCTGCTTCTCATCAGTAGGGTCTAGAGGCCACTGCCATCTGTCCTCACAGCACAGCAAGGGAACGTGGAGACGTTCCATCAAAGAGCACGCGCCACACCGCTTGGTAAAGACGCGTCCCTGGCACACCCATCCTTATCCGGCCCTTTTTCTAGAGAGACTCAAATTCGTGAGAAAACTGCAGGGCGGATGGAGACCCAGCATCTAACGAACGCTCCTCTTTGCTAAAACGACGAGTGCCTTCGGGTTAGTCCACACCTTCCGCAGCGCTGCGCGTGAAATGCCCCCCCCCCCGCACCCAGGGTGGGCTTCTCAGCAGTGGCTGCCCCCTGTCCTGAGAAGGCTCCAGGGTATTAGGATTAAAGCACTGGGCAGACAACCACAGCTCTAAAAATCGACCTTTCCTCCCTATGCTGAAATGTAAAACTGGAAAAATTAACAACTCAATATTTTGCATTCCCTTAAAAAATCTCATCAAAAAAGAGGTATTGCTGCTCCTAAAAAGATTCCAGTCTCTCTTTTGAGCCAAACAGCTGCTGTTAAAGCCACTCAGGAGGGAAACTTCCCAGCGTCCTGTCTCCCTTCAACCCTTATAAGCTGCTACAAAGTTCACCACGTGCTCTTTAAAAAAAAAAGATACCATTACTCATAAAATTTCTCAAAAAAAAAGAAACAGGTGACGAGTGCAGCTCATACTTTAGAGCTGCGGTCCCCAACCCCTGGCCTCCGCCCAGTACCAGTCCGTGGTCTGTCAGGAAACGGGCGGAGTAGCACCGCCTGAGCCCCACACACCTCCCCAGCCCCAGTCCGTGGAAACGCTGTCTTCCATGAAACTGGTCCCTGGTGCCAAAAGGCCAGGGACCGCTGCTGTAGAGGAACGCTCACCAACAAAGACCCAGCTTCTTAGAATTCTCCCCCCCTTTACCCAGTTTCCAAAGCCAAACAGTCACTCTGCTGGGTCGGGCCATGTTCACACAGGGACGACCCAGGGGTCGGGGCACCTACGGCCAGGGCCAGAGCAGAGATGCACACTGTGTGGAACACCCACGGCTTCCACTGTCTTGAGCACCCTACGCAGTGACTGTTTAAGATTTTAAAAAACCAAAAATGTATCAATCTAGGACTTGGTCCGACACTGCTGCCATAAAAGCTACTGCTCTCCTAAGAAATCGGTGTTTCCAAATTTACAGCTGGATGGCAATCCTAAAAAATGTTAACCATATTTTACTTCTAAATACTAGATTTTCTTTTTTTTTTTTTTT